ATTTTGTAAAAAACCAATTAGTGATTCGTGAATGCATTTAAAACTATGCAAACAATAATTTGTTGAATTAATTTGTAATTTGATATATAATTTGTATATTTTACAAACAAAATTTACGGCCGAACTGTACTTTCAATCTTATCGTGTTTTATAAATACTTAAAAATATTAATATACTTTTATTGGCGTAACATTTATAATATAAATTATAACATTATTTAAACAATTTTTAGTGAATTTGTAGGCTTTATATCATTAAATTTCATTGATTAGGAGTACATAACATACTCGAAAAGGACTTTAAACACATGTTATGCAATACTTATTAAAAGGATATTATAGTTAATCTAAAAATATTAAATTTTATTTAGTATGTATTGAATTATCAATGTCATTTAAGGAAAGTGTTCGTCAAATCAACTTTTATTTCTAGTTATTTTAACAAATAATTGTAAAATAATAACGATTTTTAAATACGAAAATAGTTATAATAACTTCCTTTAAATAAGAATTAGTTTAAAATGAATTCGTATTCAATTGCAGGGAAGTTGTGTACTGTTGTGATGCACTTAACAGACAATTAATAAATAAAAATTAGCAACAAATTAAGTATTGAAAACTCAAGTAACTGTTCAATCACTTAATATATACCTATGATATTTGAGTTTTATAGCCTAATAAAAATTTACAACTTATTTTGCATTTACTAGAAATTAATACATGTTTATTAAAAGCAAAGTCGTTTGCATTTGCGTCTAGAAATTCGCATAAACACAGACTCATTAATAAAACTAAACGGCATTCAAACTTAATCAAATTAAATGCTATATAAATATAGCATTTCATGCCTCTCTCTCTCTCTCTCTCTCTCTCTCTCTCTCTAACACAAGAAAAATTGAATAATTTATTTACGAGAAATTCTTGACAGAAAAATTTCAGTGTTAGACAGTTTGGGAGATATTATGTGCTGTGAATGCTATGCATAGACAACAAGCAATCAAAAAATATTTGGTACTCAAGTAGTGATGGCTATAAAGGAATGGAATTCAATATTGTTTGGAATTTTTGATCATTTATTAAAAAACTAATACCTCTTCAACACTACTATTCATAAGCACTTCTTGGGATCACAAAAGAGTTCATAACTATTGTATTTGTGCGGCGATGAAGGGCTGGCCTCTCGTTAAAGGCTTTTCCATGCATTTTATACTATATTATTAGAAGAAATACAGAATAAGAAGTACTCTTGAAAACATATTTCTAGACTATTTTATTAAATTTTAATAAACTTAATGCTAACAAATATATAAATCAATTTTAGTTTTTTGTTTTTAAGAAAGATTAATTTTTATCAGGTTTATTAATGGATCAAATTCTGGTCCCTTACAGGTAGTGAATAAGAGCCGGGGAGAGGCACTGGTAGTCAGTTACTGGTCTCTCCCGATATCCCCCCGTATATGAAATGCCAAACTATGTGTGATATGTCGGTCGCAAACAATTTAATCATTCATTAATTTATATTAAAAGCCTATTTTTGACGCCAAAAAGAAGTAAACGCCAGGAGTTGTGTTATATGGGAATCAGCCACGAGTTGGTTAATCAGTGTTTAACATATATAACAAGCGAACGAAATATTCAATTAAAAACGCTTCGTTTACTACTAATTATCAATATTATTATGTTTTCGCCAATTATTATATTATTTTATTTTCATTTCAATCAAATCCAAGGCTCACCACAAGAATTGCGAGAATCAAATCTGACATTTCAAACGGCACTCGATGTCGACAATCACTTCCGACTGTTTTGGACCGTCGATTACGAGACACAGAGCGTCACACTTGAGGTCCGATGTATTCTGGATCGGATGTACGACTGGTTCGCCATCGGGTTCTCCGATTACGGCTCAATTGGTAACTCAGATTTGTGTATATTATGGACGGATAGGAAACATAAGATTCATTTTCAGGTTAGTAACAAATACAGCCCTAAATTGACATTTTTAACCATTTTTAATCTTATATCTTAATTAACTACTTCTGCAGGACATCCACACCGACAACAATAGTTTTGTCTTCACTGACGATGAGTCCAATGATTGTCGTCTATTGAATGTAAGACGAAAGGCTAAATTATTGAGATATGCCTTTCATCGGGACTTTGATACCTGCGATCCCAACGATTATATCATTGAAGTAAACATTTTCATAACTTTTACGATATTAACTAATTGTGAACTCAAACTTTAAATCCACTAAAATTGTGTACCAAAAGGAGGGCACAACACATATAGTGTACGCGACGGGAAGGGGTCCCATATCTAGAGTGGACGGTATAAGACTTATAGACCACAAACATGGCTTCCAAAGGGTTCAACTGTTGAAATTGTTGGAAGTGTTGCCAAAATTGGCTTCAAACACAAAAATGGTTGACTTTGTTAACAGTGAAGTCAATGTACCCGATGTTGAGACCACATACTGGTGCCGACGACACGCTTTACCGCCGGAACTCAAAAACAAACACCACGTCATACAGTATGAGGCGGTTATACAAGAAGGCAACGAAGCACTGGTAAGACATCTCTTTTTACAATACAAAGTAGTTGTAAAACCTGTTGAACGCAATTATCATCTAAAGGTGCATCACATGGAACTGTTCCACTGCGAGGTGTCTGGCGATCAAGAATTACCCGAATGGAATGGCGCCTGTTTTGCGCCAGAAAAACCTAAAATATTAGAAAATTGCAAACGTGTAATCGCTGCCTGGGCTATGGGCGCCGGGGTATGCATTCACTATTCAAATTAATACATTTTTAAGTCTCTCTCTCTCTCTCTCTCTCTCTCTCTCTCTTTCTCTCATATACTCGAAATACGAGCGCAGATACTGTGTGTCGACCGAACTCTTGCAGACTTCCAGATTGGACTTCGGATAATAATGGATATAATTAACGCACATCTCGTCGNTCTCTCTCTCTCTCTCTCTCTCTCTCTCTCTCTCTCTCTCTCTCCCCTCAGCCGCTCTCATATCCAAAACAGGCGGGACTACCGATTGGAGGCAATAATTATTCACTTTATGTGATGCTTGAGATTCACTACAATAACGTAGAGCTCAAAAACGATTGGATCGACAGCTCCGGCATTCGGCTCTACTATACCGATAAGTTGCGACAACACGACGCCGGAGTCCTGGAGATCGGTCTCGAGTACACCGACAAGAACTCCATTCCTCCGCATCAGCAGTCGTTTCAATTGTCCGGCTATTGTACGTCTGAGTGCACGCGAGCGTCGCTACCACCCTATGGTATCACTATATTCGCGTCACAACTCCACACCCATCTGACGGGTGCCCGTGTTTGGACACAACACCTGAGGGGTGGCGTCGAGTTGCCCGAAGTGAACCGCGACAACCATTACAGTCAACACTTTCAGGAGATTAGAAAACTCAAACATCCGGTAAATGTATTTCCCGGCGATGTATTGATCAATACATGCGATTATCAGACCATTGGCCGCACAAATATAACGCTCGGCGGGTTTGCCATCAGCGACGAGATGTGTGTTAATTATATCCATTATTATCCAAAGTCCAATCTGGAAGTCTGCAAGAGTTCGGTCGACACACAGTATCTGCGCTCGTATTTCGAGTACATGAGAGAAAGAGAGGGTCAGTCGACGTCGGCTAACGCTAGTGTCAAACAGAACTACCTGTCCATTGAGTGGAACCCCAATAGAGCCCTATTCCTCGACCGTTTCTACCATTCATCCCCTCTGTCTATGCAATGCAATCAGTCATCCGGCGATCGCTTCCCGGTATTTATTAATATTAATTATTTACAAAATTCTTATCTCACATATAATATGAATTCTTTATTTGATTGTCAAAAGGGTTATTGGAATGGTATACCTGTCCCGGAGATACACTTCCCATTGAAGACAAGTAAAAGAAATTGTAGCAAAACTTAAATATAAAGTATAGTTAATGTCAATAAGATTTGTGTAAAGATATGTCAATAGATATCAACTCATGAATTTAACAATAAAATAAATTCTGTATATTGTATGTAAAACATGTAGATTAATGTAAACCAATGAAAATATTATTGTAAATTTACGGAATTTATTAATAAAAATTATAACGAGATGTATATCTAAAAGTTTAAACAAATAAAAAGTTTTATTTAATATTATATTTATAACTATATGATTAATAGTTATATGATTATGGCTTGGCTTTCGTTTGGATAGGAATCGGTTTAGGAAAGCGTTTTTGTTTAAAATTCAGTTTCATTATCGCATTATATCTATTGAAAAGTTTATATGACTTGTTTGCCTCGTAATTAAGTGATGCGGACGTAAACCACGTGAATATAAATGAGGAATATATCAAAATTAGTAAATAAATTAAGATAATCTTTATGATTAATGCCGTGTTTTGAAATATTATCACATAAGACAGAATACACGCTATTGTACTCAATAGGAGCCACAGAATCGCTATATATTGAGACCAATAAGTGTTGTTATAGTCGTTGACCTCCGCATAAATTTTATTCAACGAGACTATGGTTTTACTGATGTAAATGCTGTCAAAATACGTGTTGTGTAATATACGATAACATAGATCTTTGTTTATTAATTGTATTTTGCATTTAATATACAAACAGATGAGATAAAAGTGAACCAAAAGCCATAGAATCTGTTTAATTGCATAGTAATCGACAGCAGAGAGTAATATAACCTGAGGAATGCCGTACACTATCACTTCCATTAGTGTACATTTATGTATATATGCCATCAATGAGAATGATATATAACCAGCTACTGAATAGACCTGGATCATTCTGATTGCCTTGAATAAGACACGCGACCTGCGAGACAATATCCAAACCAAATGACCACTGTTAAGACCAATCTTTATAGGAGTTATATGACCGGCAAACATGTCAAATAATAATAGAAATGTTGGTTTTATACCACGTTTAAAGTTTTAGTAATATAGGTGTCGAAAGCATGTATCGCCCATAATATGCACATATAGTTTATATGACCAGGAATATCTAGTAAATATGTCATATCGGCCAAAACAACCCTCATATTATGATTTTGGGTTGATACAAAAAACGTGACCGTTATGACTTCAATGAAATAAATGACAAAACAAGTGTTGATTATAAATGGTTTGCAAATAAACAACCGTTTTGTAAAGAAATTGTATGAACTCCTGGTATAACACAAACCCATTTCATACAATTGATTACTGGCTGACGATGTGATTAACTCTTTGGGCAGAACTCGATTCACACGAATTGCATTCATTTTGCAATTTACTGTTAAGTTATTTCAAACTTTTTGTGACTTAAAATAAATACATGTCTTTATATAAAAATAACTTTACTTTGTTTTCAGAAAAAATGGTCCTTGAATATGAAAAATGATGCCATAATAATAATGACTTTATGATTGTATTTCAAAAGCAAATAATACCATTAATTTAAAATTACTGACAATTAAAAATACATTTATAAATCTAGAAATTAAGAAAAGCCCGATATATTCACATCAATTGAATAATTTTAAATATATTTCACTCAAGCTTTGTTACAAACATTCATTACTTCATAACATGCATAATTAGTATTAAAAGTTAATAAATACACTTTAATTTGTTTGACATTAAAATATCTTTTTGTTATTCGTACAACAGTAACTATTATAGCATTTATTAATTAGGGTACCTTAAATTTAAATGGTTAGTAATTAGTATTATTGCCTACCATTAATATTAATGTGATTTATAAAATTTAAGCAAAATTGTGTAATAATAATAGACTAAATATTCTTATAGACACAGCATTTGGACAACATTTATATCAAAACTAATTATGACTTTTAAGTAAAACAATAATACAAACATTATAAATCATATTATGACAACATTTTAATATGTATAAATCAAACTTACCTTCAGGTAAATGTTATATTTATAACATGTTTGAATTTTAATCTTAATAATTAATAAAAGCACAATAATAAACAATTTTTATTTATTTCAACGTTTTAAAATTACAATACGATTAATACATTTACAAATATATAATTTAACCTATTATTTTTAAGTGTTAAAAATAAATATAACAGTTGTATTAGTGATTATTATTTAAATATTAAAATTAAATTCATATTTTATCAATAACCTAAATAAGTGCAGCACTCTTAGCCCAGATTGGTTTTTATTCGTAAGTTCTGACTATATTTCAGATTGACTACACATATACTTCATAGGAATATACAGTAAAAACTATAACAGTTTACTTAAATTTTGATGGTTAAAAGCAAGACCTTCAATGTGGATTCTAATAATCTAACTAGTTATATTTTATATTGATAAAAATATAATAACATATTATCATAATGTAATTTAATAGTAATGACAATTTAGTAAAATTGAAATTTGAATGAACGCTTATAAACGGATTTCCAAAATGACATCATTTGAAGTGTAGAATATTGTGGTATTTGTTTATAACAATAAATATATAGACAAATGAATGAATTAGCAGTAATTGAATGGATAGTAGATGTATTGGCAAAGCATTGATGTCCAGCACAGTTCTTGATTGTATAAGTGGCACAAGAATTGCGTTTGGACAATCACGGCTTACAACCATGCTCAGTTTACATTTTCATTGTGTCGCCCAATAGAGTGGACAATTGAATCCCAGTTTTAAGTGCCAACCAATCTATTGAACGAAAACCATTGAATTCAATAGAAAATAACCAAAACTTATTTCCATTGCTCAACACATATAGAGAGAGAGTGAGACATGTAGTGCCGGAAAGTGCTCTTTAAGCGGCAAAAAATTCAATTACTTTTACACAAAAATAAGGAGTTTTTTAAACAAACAGAAAAAGGAGTTTTAAATCTTAACATATAATCTAATAAACGAAATGTATTTTTAAATACTTTGTTTAAAACTGGATTTTCCCCTAAAAAACTTTAATTGAATTTTCAGAGTTTTATAAACACCTTTCAATTAATGGCTGTTTTTTATTGTTAAGTGAATGGAATTAAGTTTAAATAATACGATAATTAGTTTTAAGATAACAGTTGAATAGTCTGTTTATAAACACATTATATATAATGCCTTATATTTGTTCATTATTTCAACAATTTTATCATTAAATTAATAATAAATATATTCTTCCATTGAATACATAAGAGCTTTTTGCGACACAATGAAAATGTAAACTGAGCATGGTTGTAAGCCGTGATTGTCCAAACGCAATTCTTGTGCCACTTATACAATCAAGAACTGCGCTGGACATCAATGCTTTGCCAATAC